AATGGCATCAAGCCGTTGTATTAGTCTTCGGTGCTTTTTATACCCCATACTACCGATACCAAAAAACAAAGCATCAAAATAGACTAAATATGCATGAAGATAAATGCTGACAAAGTCACTGTCGCCATTTTTGCAGGGCACCGCGTCCCGATATCCTGCGAAAATGGCGGCAGCGGGAGTGTACGTATGTGCAGAAGCTTACTGGGAAAAGGTCCATTACTTTTACTATGGCAGGTCAGATCGAAAGTCTTCCTTCAAGTTATCAGTAAAAGACATGTGATGCAGTCAAGTCTCGCTAATATAGACGCAATGCTAATACACACTATTTTGGGGGACCAATTCCTCCCCATGCAACTCAGCCTTGTGAATATTAAAAGCCTCAGTCCAGACTATGAACAGCTAGTTATGGGAACTGAAAAAATACATGCAGGTTTGTCTCATTATTACGAAAAAAAGGGTCAACTAGTAAAATGAAGAGCTTAGTTAAGACCTTGGATTACAGAGTTCACCAAGAGTTTTACTACTTTCGGCTGTCAATTGCGCTTCCTTCGGAAGGCATGACCTTGGCACCAAGCAAAGGTTCCATTATCGGGTCTTTCCAGCCAAACGCGTAACCTGCCTTTCTCTCCTTATCTTAGATGCTCTTCAGATGTGGCCAGTTTCCTAGCTTTTATGGCCTCTTCCATCTATGCAGATTTACAGGCAGCCACGTTTTGCTCAAGAATCAGTTCGGTCTGGCTGGCTCAGACCAAGACGGGAGTCTCAAAGTACACATGCAAAGGAAAAATAAAATTTTTAAGCAGCCTGAACGGGAAAAGGATGTCCTAAAACAAATATTCAACAAGAAAAAGAAATTTCTGGAGCTCTATTTACGGTGCAAAACGAATTTGTACTTGGCGCCTGCAGAAAAGTGGCTGCTATGGTCACGCGACTGGCCGCTATGGTAACGTGGTGCTTACGCTCTTTTGGGCACTTCCTATGGTCTCTAAAATTTACTTATCAGTGATGTGATTGGCCTAAGCCATTTTGGAGCACCTTTCGGAGCAGCAAAAAAGAGTGTTTTGGAGCAGCAAATGTGGCCTTTGGAGCAACCAAAACAGTGTTTTGGAGCAGCAAAAGTGGCTTTTGGAGCAGATACTGTTAGAAGAATAAAAATTTTCATTTTAAGTGCTGCACAAACGAAGGGCACTTTGTGTTGTATCATGCTCTCATGTGACTTGTTGTGGCAGAACTCGCTGCTTGCGGTTTTGCTGCTGAGACATCCCACAAGTGTACAGCGCATTACTGTAGGCATTGCCGAGCAATTCCGAAAAACTGCTTGCCACCGTCATACTAGTTCTTGACGTGCCAGACTTTCGTCAAAACTAAACAAACGTGAAACAGTGGATTGCAACCGTCAAGCTGGTGCCTTTGTCGTGTAATGATGTTTGCATGCACAAGAGGGCAACTTCGGCGGGCTTGCAGTTGCGTGTGCTTTGTCGCACAAGCGGAGACAACCGCTGTTTGATCGAAGCCGAAACCGAAACCATGCCAGTCCGCTCCGTCGCCAACTGATTCCCAAAATTGTATGCAAAATGTAACTGTTGAGCATACGACAAAAAAAGTCCAACAACGCGTGCTTTCCAGGCCGGCAAACAAAGTACACACACACACAAAAAAGAACCTGAGCGCATTGATGCAGACATCACGAGCCAGGGTCAAAAAGTTCTTGGGGCGCTTTGTGCAATGACTGAACTCGAGATAAACAAGCGCGCTGTGCGGGTTCAGGTCACCAAAGAAGGCAATGTATATACATTGGCTTCTTTGTTTTAGCTCACTTCTCTTCAACTTTCTTTCACGGCAGATTTTTCACGTACTGAGCGCAAAAGAAAGCCCACCAAGCGAAACGTAGGTAATCAATACTTGGACACAGCAGTCTTTGAATTAAAGAAGGATTTTTATAGTAACGTACGGTTTAAACAAGAACATGAATGTTGATGAACTTGCGGTGGTACTTAGTTTCATTTTAAAGAGCGCCATGTTTACCGCGACGTGGGGACGGCAAAACCTGACGACGTCGCGCAACCACGAAGTCTGGAAGGAAGGGAACAAATATTGTTTTCCCAGGGCCGCTGCTTTCAGGAGCGAGTGTTTAAAGGGAAGATGGGGCACTTCTACTTTTGAGAAAAAACGCTTGAACTGCGTTCATTTGGCCTTTAGAATAACAGATATCAAAATTATATTTCAATGCGACGCGCCGGAGAGCCACAAGAGTAATTTCAAAATAGGGCTGAAGCCCCGCCCCCCTAGCCTTGGGCAGCCAAAAGATCCGTCGATGATGTCACGGACAGCGACCGTCTTTCGCGTTTTTCTCGCGTTTAACAATACTTACGCAGCAAATGGTTTGGGTATTCGGGTTCACGGGGTAAAAATGCACTAGAATTCGCTTCTAACCCATTTTTTCCAAGAAGCTCCGTAGCTTCCCTTTAAAGGGGTCATGAAACGCTTTTCCAACTTTTTCCTGTTTAGCTTTCTTCCTCAACTCATAGATCGCGCATTCTACCAAACAGTTTAAGAAGACGAAAAGAGGGGAGTCCCCTCTTGCTCAGAATCTCGTTTGTACACCCGGACAGAGCCATTGTCCTCCTAGAAGATTAGCCCGTCGCTCAAAATTCAGACAAAAATTGCTTTCCCCACCCCGCTCACCCCGAAGCTGACAGTGCTGTGGAAGCTACGTGCTCGTAGGGCCAGCCAAACTTTTGCCACGTGATCACGCTCTCTCGCGCATACCCAGGCGCAGAGAATGAGGTCAGGTGATGAAAGGGAGGCGGCTGATTGGTCGGGCAAGCGCGTAGCGTCCACCACAATGTCAGCTTAGGGGTGAAGGAAATAAGAGAGGTCCGGTATCGTGCGAAGTGTGTTTGGACCCGGTGACGCTCTTTGGGAACCGCGGATGTATCACAGTGAAAAGGCAGAGAGCTTACGAACGGGAGAAGGTACGAAATAGTCCACTGTGTTTTCAGATTTTCACACTGAAAGTCAGGCTTTTGGCTTTCTATCTTTCTTCTTTTGGCCCACTGAACCGATGTGCTATTAGTAAAATCCCAATCTAAAGTGATTTATATCAGCCCAAATTTCGTTTCATTAGCCCTTTAAGGTCACAAAAGAAACTCTCGCTGCGCAAAAACGTGGTTTTGTTTCAGAGCATGATGGCATGGCTGGTACCCGGCACACTAGCGTCGGAGCGTCTACACACCAGCGCCTATCGTTGAAAATATTTTTTTTGTTCAAAGAAGACGCGGGACGCGAATTACGAGACGAGGAGAGCGTAAAACGCAATACGGCCAAAACAAAAAACAAAAAAAAAAGAAAACATGCAAGAACATAACACACACATGCTCAATTACACTACTCAGTTTAGTTTCGGTTGTGAAAGGCAACCAAAATTGGCGTTTTGGCCCACGCTTCACGCAGATCACCCATTATTTGGCAAAATGTAGCAGGGTTAGCCACTTGGCACAGTTTGGCACAATTGGCACAGCAATCACATCACTGACTATGTTTGAAATGCAACTAAACAATGAAGGTCAATAAGTAACTTTTAGAGGCCAAAAGAAGCTCTCGAGAGAGCACAAGCACCACGTGATAGACCTGTGTGCCACTCAGAAACTGACAGCAGTGGCATGCAGGAGTGTTCCCCTACGGCAGCGGTGGCATGGAGAAACACATTCAATCAGTTCAACCGGTGGCAAGCCACGCTCAGCGTGCGTGTGGGGGTTGAAGGGACTTCAGTGGCAGCGCTGAACGGCTCCGGTGGCAACGGCGCACAGGTCTACATGACCAGTGGCAGCTCTCGTGGGCGACAACTAAAAATTTGTTTCGTGCCGTAAATATAGCTCAACTATATTTTCTTTTGTTGTAAATTCATTTTATGGCACCGTTTTCCCGTCCAGGCTGTTTTCAAGATCTTTTTCCTTTGCATGTGTTCTTTAAAAGGGCACTGACACGCCAAAGGTCATATTGTTGTCTAAAACAATGCAAGTTGCAGTCATAAACACACACGCGAAGAAAAATTCCCATGTGGGCGAGTAATTTGGAGCAAAGGCGCTTGTCTTGGCTTGAGCAGCGTAACTGTGCGGTGCACTATGGGAAATGTCCCAAATGCACCGCGCAGGACCCTCGTGATGTCACAAGGGACGTAACGGCACAGTGCATTACGGGACATTTTCCATAATGCAACGCACGGGAAGGAGGAGAACGTGGGGAGGAGGAGGAGAGAGAAGAGGAGGAGGGGAGGACGGGGAAGAGGAAGGAAGGAGAATGAGGAGGAGGAGGGGAGGAGTATCAGGAAGGGTGAGAACACAAAACCTTGCGTTTTAAAAACATGCAACGAATACCTGAATCGAAAAAGATTTTCGGCCCCTGTCAAGGTGGCCAGAAATGCCCGGAGTACCATGTATAGGAAATGAACACTTAACTTGCTTAACATTCACTTACCACTGCCATGAACCTCCCTTAAAATTCCTAATTTGCCGCATTTGTCTACTCTAAGCCTAACCCTTATCACCATGCAAACCTTTTCCTCGGATTTGGACTTCCTGTACAACCGAGGCTCCGTGCGCGGTGCTGCGCAGACAGCCTCGCTTGGAAAACAGGAAAAGAGGGGGCAAAAGCAGTACGTCTTTCGTCTCCAGTCACACACGCACGCCAGCGTGCATGTGAGACACATCGGCAAACCGACTTTTCTGCATCACGCAGGATTTTTGTTTTTCATGTGATCAATTTCAATGAATAGAGGTGCGACGGCACATGTAAAACATGCGTGCAACTCTGGTTCCCGTAGGGAGCATATACATTAACTCTATTTGGACTCTACCGAGGAAACCCCCCTGGTTGAGGATTTCAGAGTTAACACGGATTTCTAGGAGTCTGTACAAGAGCTGATCTAGACTTTAACCGGCCATAGTCGAGCCACCGCCACTCTTCTATGTTAATTAAAGAGGTGGATATGATGAACTTACCTAGACTTGAAGACTGATTTGGTTCCATAGGAACTGTTGGATGGAGTCAAGCTCCAAGACACCCGCCAAACGCCGTCTCACAGAAGCCAAGCCGTTTTCCACGAGGCTCCCACAACTTTAATCGTGCTGCAAGTTTAGACAGCGGGAGGTTAGTGATCTCCAATGGGTGTCTGTCGTCTTCACCGCAAGTCAGAAATTCTGCCAGTGCAGTACGACACCTAGCCTGGGGTCTTTAACGTGCGTCGCACAGTGGAGACTTACAACCACACGTCGGTATGTCGCTCATCTGGATCAAAATTGGCAGAAGCGGGGATTAAACCCCGGATCCCCACTCCAGCACGAGCTTTCATCTACGCTATTTGAGCTGCGGTGTGTTAACACGTCCGGTCATCGACCCCCCTGCACTCTTGGAATCAAGTTCAGAACCGTTAGATGAGAAATCTTTCTCGCCAAGCTGAAGGCAAGCTGCAAACACACAAAAAAGGCAGGTCTAAAACTCACTGGAAACTAGACAAATATAAAACTTTCGGAGAAACGTCAGCCAGGGCAACTTTTAACGCAATGTCCGCCGTCATATTAGGTTTGCATGCTGTTGGTTCGTCCACCTTGCAAATGTTTCAAGCTCTGCTAAACCCTTTCCACGGTACAAGGCAGTAGTTTACAATAGAGTGACATATACTTTGATGGTTGAGTGCCTAATCTTTACGAGACCTATCACTGCAGATATACTATGCATAAACTATTTCCTGCTGCATTGTAGAGCCTAGCATAGCTTCCACAGTGCAGCAGACATGTACTGTAGAAGCTATGCTAGCCTCGACAATGTAGCACAAAATAGATGGCACCAGGCATAGTAAAAGCCTCATTGCTAAATTACCCTAGCATCAACGAGAACGCTGGGAATGCAGGTCAACACGTCCCACACGCTCACCTTTCCCCCATAAAAAATATGACATAAATGACCAAAAGAAGGCGTTCCTGAATGCGCAAATAAGATGGCATATTTGTTTTAGGCTTTTGCTCTAAAACAGCTACTGCTGCAGACTGCAGCACATGCAGCATATGTAACTACACTCATAGCATGCTTCTTGGTGCTTTGGGTTTGGGTTGACTGCTTTCGGTTCAGTTCCGCGGGCAGCAAACTATTATCATTGTGAAACGAGTAACTATCTATATAGTTTTATTTTTATCATTCCTAAATCGTTTTATTTTCAGGTATCAAAAATAAGAAATACCGTTATTTACTTTTACGCAAAAGTAAAAAACGAAAAAGATCAGGATTAACATTCAAAACATGTTTATACTACATCCATTTGTCTACCTCAGTCACGTCTATTTTACCTGAATTGAAAGGTTGTCACGAAGAATGGTAGGTTGCCTAAAATACAAGTGATTGGTACAACTTTGCGTCGCAGTATTAGAAGTTGGATCGTAGTTGTGCTCTAGAACTAAGCAATGTGCATAAAATCACGAAAAGGCCACCTCGTCGCCATATAGTGAATTTATGAAATAAGCTTAACAGTATGCATGACGACGACACAGTTGGGTTAAAAGCAATATTATTTCCAAAATGTTGCAAAACTTTTAGGACGAGCCCTTTCAGTCTACCTTTTATAGAAACAGTGAGCGGCAATCATCACGCTCGTTTTCCTGACCAACATTCTTCATGCTCAGCAATGTTACGCAGGAGAAGAATCGTGCAGAAAGGAGTGATCCAAATTGTTAAAGGAGTGATCCAAATGGTTGTCTATTCTATACGCACCTTCACACTCAGATCGAATCTGACCTAAAAAAGTGTGTGCCCAAGCGAACATTATCTCATACAAGAGGAACAACATAGCCTGGCTGTTGAGGTTTGTGCCTAACAAGACGCTGGCCAATTCAATTCGCAAATTAGCATCACCTTTGCTAATCCGTGATTTTCTGTCAAATAGGACAAAGTATTTTAAACTCTTTTCAACATAGCAGCTACTTAACTGGTCACTTTCTCACGGTATATGTGCGTAATCTCACGGTATGCGTGCGTAATTGTCATTGTTCTGCCACACGCCCCTGTGTACGTTGTTTTTGTCCGGCCCACACACACATAAAATTGTGGTTCATCACATAAGAAAAAATAGCATACTCCTATATGTATGAAAAGTTATTCATGTGTCAGGAACGGCTGTAGGACCATTCGTCGAATGACAATTTGTCACACGTCAACTGGTAGCAGGGTTATTCGTCACAGGGCAATTCGTCGTAGGTCAGTTCATCACTATGACAATTCGTCGAACTGTTAACAGATAAATCTTACTTTTGTAGTATTTCTGATGCTTATCAATCATAGTTCTTTCAAATGCGTACAATTACGTCCGACCCCCTTTCTGATATAATCACTTTTTCGCAACACAAGAAATTAGACTTACTAATATCTAATAGACACTGACCAGGGGCATTGCTGGGGGGTGGGGAAAGGGGGGGGGGGGGGCATATGGGGCTTCAGCCCCCCCCCCCCCCCCCCCCCCCCCCTCCCCGAAATCCAAACGACCCTATAATATACACATGTGTTTTGATCCTCCCTCCTCCTCTCCACACCCCGTCATAGACATCCCAACCAACTCGCCCGCCCCCAACCCTACCCCCCACCCAAAACAAAAACCCTGGCTATGCCACTGACACTGACTAATTATGTCTTGTCCACCACAATCTTGGCACCTCTGTCACTGATGCAAAAAGTGGATGGCAAACGTTTCAGTAATGCATGCGCAGTCTGTGTCTGTGTCGTGCACACACACGAGCTACATTCTTTCTGTGTCGCACATGCGCCGAGAAAATGTGGAGGAGGATTGCAAAGGACACCTGAAATTTTTATATTCTATGCCTCCAAGATTAAGTAAAATGTTTATAAACTTCAAAGGAAACGGAAGACTAAACTTCCTAAACAGGACGTTACACAGGAGCTGAATAGCAAAAGCGGCCGAAAGTAAAAGAGGCTAGTACGTGGGCAACAAGATATTCAAACATTATCTTCGGTTTTTCGACAAGTTGTCCCAGGGACGAATCGCCCCATGATGAATTGTCTTATCTGACAAACTGCCCTGCTACGAGTTGCCCTATCACGAATTGTTTTTTAACAAACGGCCCGTATCCCCAAGAGTCAGGAACACATAGTTATTTAAAACAGCTTCAAAATCAGAAATTTCTTAAATGCTTTACTTACACAAGTGCATATCGAGGATAAAAATGCAAAAAAAAGGGTTGCAGAGCATCTTTCAGATAATTGGAGTTTCAAACTTTCCACGTATGCTCAGTTTATGAACCCCGTTCATGTAAGGGGTTCCTTCCGAGTAACTTGGAGCATTCCAAAAATTTTAAACGGGGGCTGGCCACCAAAGCTCTCGTATCGGCGCTCCAGGAATCCTGCCCTCATAAGGTGGGGCGCAGCTTTCAAAGACAGCTTTGTAGACTCCAGGATTCCGGGTACTCGAGTACCCTCCTCGTACCGGTATATGAGAAGCTTTGTAAGCAAGTGCGACATAATCCTGAGAAAAACGAACCGACGAAAAAGAAACCCCCAAAGCCTGTCGTAGTGGTACCATATATACACGGCATCACTCATCGTTTAAAAAAGATAGCTGGCCGACAAGGCTTCCACGTCGTGTACTCTGCTCCCAACAAGGCCTACGCCATGTGCCGTATAATGAACCGGGAGACCGACCAGAACGGGACGACGACCTGCGGCACTGCGCATCGAACACCCTACGCCCCATGCGAAAAAGGAGCCGTATACAATATCCCTATGTCATGTGGCAAAAGCTACATAGGGCAAACAGGGAGGTGCATAAACGACCGCACCAGAGAACATGCAGCCTCTGTGGCCGCACTAACGTCGGCGGGCCACCTTTCGGCACACTGTCGGGACTGCAAATGTGCTCCTGATTTCAAACATTACCGTCGTCACACGACACCGGAAACAGCTTGGAAGGGAGATCCTCGAGTCGCTGGCCATTGAGGAGAGGGAGGAAGAATGCGTAAGTGTCGCCTCCATTGCGCTCTTTTGCCCAAGGAAAAAGTATATCTGCCGAAAGCGACCCCTCGGAGCAACCAAGTTGGGACTATTTGAATGCCAAGATCCGACAGAGGAAAAAGAAGTTGACGCTACCGAAAGTAGAAAAAAAAGGAAGTTTTGTAAGATCCGACAGCTAAAGAAGAGGTAAACTCCACGGTTAGTGTCGAGAAAAAAGAAGTTTCTGTCTAAGATCTAAGCTCTGACTGATGAAGAAGAAGATACCTTTTAGGATAGTGTTGAGGAAAAGGAAGTTTTATTAAAAGGTTGATAGTCCAGCAGTGTGGTTTTTTTTGTTTTCTTCTCTCCGTCGCTTTGCCTAAACAATCAGCTGGTATTCAAGTAAGCATGTCTAACCAACCGGCTCAGCTCCAGGCCGTCACAGGACTTTGTGCTCGCATGATAGATCTGAAGGCAAATACTTGACATCTGCAGAACGAGAAAGATAGTAAATGATATTCTTCAAAAGAATCTGATACATGATGCCTTACTGCAAAAAGAAATAGATATGTAATATAATATTCCTAATTAAATATAAATAGAGGGAAGAACAGATGAAGATTCTTATAATCCTAATGTAAATTCACACTTGGGCATCAGCTTGCACGAGCTCGAAACTTTGCAAAATACTGCCTCGGGAGGTTGGTGTTATATTCGGTGTAACTTTAGTTGTTTTGGGCCCTTACCTTAGGCAATGAGGTTCATCAGCCATGCACTCTAACATTTCATTAGTACGCTGTATGTCATTGCAAGACTAATATATATACTGCACAACTTTACAATGTCGACACCTACTCTTGTTAGTGTTGCAAACATCGCATTTCACAAGGAAACTGGATTGGTTTGCACATGACATGGTTTGCACATGATGTCATTGCAATATATGCTGGTGGTCACTGCAATTTGTTCTTCCCGAGAAAATAAAATCCGATGGTACAACACGGAGATTCAGGCAAGTTGGTTGCTCATGATTAGGGCTCCATTTTTTCGGATAAAACCCCCCGGTAAAATTTTGGTTAATTCGGATTTAACCGATAAACTCCGAATATTTATGTGTCAATGCCGCCACGCCACCCCCCCCCCCCCCCCCCCCCCCCCCGGACAAAAAGAAGGTAAAATACTTTTTTTTTTACAGTTTGATCAGCACAGAGCCAATGGTCCTGGGAAAATTCCACCATAATTATCTTTCAAATCTCGGACCGTTGTCAATAGGGGTCTTGCCGCTTGTCTCTTCAAGGATGATTCAGGGCAACAGGTCGTTCGTTGTACTTTCGGGTCACGATAAAAGCCACTCTTTTGGTTTCCAGCTTGGGCCATGCGATTTCTGCTTTTAAAAAAAGGAGAGGTTATGTATTTGTAACAGTGAAAGCTATGGACTATAGGGATTGTATAAAATTGGGAAGAGGGGCAGTTCTAACTCTCTATTACCTCGCGCGGCCGCCGGCTTGATTGATGGAATAAAATGGGACTACGAGCCTCCTAGCGACTATATTCGGCAACAACTTTTCTTGGCAATGCAGTGGAAGGTACGTCCCGCGTCCCCTCTCCCATTTTGAGTGTACGAAGGCTCTCCTCCTCTCCCCGGAAATGGGGGAGGAGGAGAGCCTGCGTACACTCAAAATGGGAGAGGGGACGCGGGACGTACCTTCCACTGCATTGCCAAGAAAAGTTGTCGCCGAGTATACCTCCGGGAGTTTATCGATTTTAAGGTATCGGCGTTTATCGAAGCGCCACTTGTGTTCGACTTTTGTCGTGGATAAATTAGTATTGCCAATGACAATGGCACGAACATCAAATTCCACTGAAGATATTTCAACTGATGCAAGCGCGTTTTATTCTTTATCTGGCATACGTTTACATTCGGTTATTATTTTTTTATTTATTTTTATCAGAAGACACAGTGAAATTAAACTCCGAATTTCGGAAAATTGAGAATAAAAAAATATAAACTCCCAATCTTCGGCAAAAAATAAACTCCAAAAAACACCCTCCAATTTGACGAAAAATAAACTCAGAAAACACGGAGCCCTACTCATGATGTACAGGGGGAACAGCGCACCCGCAAAACAGTCACACAGGTCCCCACACACAAAAGGAAGAGAAAGAAAGAGAAATATTTTTTTATTCCTTGGGGACTCCCTTTCCCGCTTGGGTGTGTTACTTCAACAAATATATTTGTGCCACTTTTTAACAGTAAGCCTCCATTCCCTTTATTTTATACCCAAAAACTTAGCAATGGGCCAAACTTTCGCCGAATCGAAAGTTTGGGGCCGAATCTTAGGATTCGGCTCCGAACTCGGCAAAAATACATTGTTACCACACTGAACATGGATATTTAGTTTTTTCTCGCGAAAAAGTTTTTTTTTTTTTTTCTTAACTTAAATGCAAAATGTAATGCATATTGCCACGAGCGCAGCTGACCAAGAAGGCAGCACGCTTGTGGTCTAACGGTTATTGCGCGTGCTTTCCACGCGGAAAGCCAAGGTTCGATTCCTGGCCGCGGAGGCGCATTTTTGTTGACTCTGTAAAGTAATGTTCTGGTAAATTTGAGAACCATGTTGCTTGTTCGAGGTCAAAATGTTCTGCACGCCGAACCTTCTACGCCGATTATTCCAGAAGCCCACACGTGTACATAAGGGGCTCCGTGTGGCGATCTGCAGTCAGTTTTCGCCTCAGCATTCGATCCTGCTGCTTTGCCGCCTTCGACACCCGCAACGCTCTGTTATCTTTCTTTCCTTTTATCTTTTTGGGCACAAGTTCGTTCCATTAAACATTTAGTTTCTTCAGTTATTATTGCCTCATCACTTGTCATTCGTGACAATATTGACACAGTTATCGTTAAATAAGGTGATGTTCTACAAGATAATTGTATCGGTGTCATTTTTGTGAGTTTACTTGAAATTTTCGCGACTCCTTGCAGAAGTGGCGTGACAACGAGGTTGGGTAGAAGCGAGCGTGGCGCAGTCACGAATCACGCTACGAGAGTTTCGGTTTTGAGGCATCATCAGCGCCAGCCTGCACGTCTGTGTACATTGTTAAAGTGAAGGAAATAACACTGCGTTCTTGTTTTTTTTTGTGAGTCACCGTTTTGTGCGCGAAAACTAATGGAACGGTTGCTAGGCCTTCACCAGAAGAGATATTGTAAATATGCATGTTTTTCGATTTGAGTCACTTGACGTCAGCTTCGTGTGAAAGTGTGCGTCCCATATTCGCAACGTCTCGTTTCTAACCTTTAAAATACCAGTTTCTGGTGTTACGACACGCACAAACATTTAGGAAGACAGGGAGAGTTGGGAATGTCGGATGTGCAACGTTGAGCATTATAGTTCTGTGTTTATAGTTTTATGCAGACACATGAAAATCGCGAAATAACGCTAATTGAAAAAGCAATATTATTTTGTTTTGGCACACACTACTTCTGAGCCGTAAACAGAATTGTTATAATTATGAGGAGTGCTTTAAAGTAATAGACGACCAATGTTTCAAGTACCTCGTTGCATCATTGGAAGGGTCAAATGAAAATCATGTTATCCAGAATGTACCGCATCATTTATCACTTGCGCAGTGGGCTGCGTAAATTACTGGTCGACCTTTTATTCCTGAGGCAAAAAAATATTGAAGAGAACCACACTCGCTCACAAAAGCGCAGTTAACCCCAGTTGAAAATTTCCATTAGATTCCAAGTGGAATTTCCAATTGGTACCAGTTAGGTTTTGCAGACGACCAATCTGCGTTTGCTGTGTCGTTGACGTCACTTCCTTCTCCCTAGTCTCCTGGGAGTCCAAACCGTGCAACATAGCCCCCCGTAACCGAGCGAGTCCCGAGTACAGGCGGCGTCGGGGATCCGTGCGACCAACACAGCACGGGCGCCGGTACAATCCAGGCAATCACCGTCTCCTGATGTGACGGGCGAGAGGCGACGAAGTTGGAGAATGCCCACAGTACAAACAAGAAGGCGGAGGAGCGCAAAAACGTTGACGGCTAAAACACCCATTCGTTCTCTTACACTGGCTACATTGTCTGACGCTAATCATTTATGGACAGTGTTCATCACAGACATGCGCTGAAGTTGGCAAGCCACTGAGCACGGGCTCAGCTTCAGACATCTGTGTCAGACATCGTTTGGCTACCGTCACCCGAATGTTTGCCCATGCTGCAGGAGGTCGTGCCGCTGACCACTGGATCATCAAGGTAAAACAGCGCGAAGAAACGTGACGGAAGAAACAAGGAAGGCACAGCGCTGTTTTACCTTGCTAAGAAAGGCACCCGCTTGTTGAATAAAGAGAAGTGTCGAAGTTTCAGAACATGAAATCAATCTCACCTCCCAACACTCGTTGTCGTGAAGAGTCGGATAACAATAAAATAAACCTGGATGGATGGATGGGCAGTTAATGGCTATTCCCTTTGCAACGGGCGGCAGCTTGCGCCACCTAGCCTAAGTCTAAAAAGACAAACACGTGATTCCTCCCGCTTTTTTAAAGAGGTAGGGAAACGAAATTTCAGCGCTCATTTTCTAGCTTGAATGTGTTGCATGTTCCACCCTAACCTCAAAAACACCAGTCTTCCGTTGAAAGGCACAAGAAATCTAAATTTAAAGCTAAATAAACGATCTTTCAATATGCACCTGGTGGATGCATGCGGAGCCTATTTGGAAGGTAGTCTAGCAAAGTTGTGGAATCTGCTACGTAGTCGTGACGTAGCAGATTCCTTCGGAGCAGCGCCGCTCTTTGGCATTTCAACATTTTCCCTCTTAGCTTTCCTGCTCAACTCACAAGTCGCGCATTGTACCAAACGGTCCAAGAAGACGGAAAGGAAGGACTCCCCTCTTTCTCGGACCCTTGTCCGTGCAACTGGACACAGCCATTCTCCCCTTAGAAGATTAGCCTGTCGCTCAAAACTCGAACAAAAGTTGCTTTCCCCACCCTGTTCAGCACTAAGCTGACTAGCGTTGTGGAAGCTACGTGCTCCTTAAGCCAGCCACACGCTCGTCACCCCACGGGCACTTCGAACGGCTCGGTTGTAACGCGCTGACGCTATGGACACCACCACAACGCTGACAACGCCACCAAGGGCAAAGCTCCTAACCACTCCTGCCTTGCTACTCCACGACCGCGGGAAAACTTTTCTTTCTGTTTTTGCTTGCGCCGGATATCCCATGACGCATCGCACTCTCCGTTCGCTTCTCTTCGAGCGCTTGCTCGAGTGCCCCGTTTAGAACGAAAAATATGGCCAATCGTTCAAAATACAAATGTGCGATTATCATTTACGGTTATTGCCCGTCATGCTTGACTCATTTCCGAACGAAATCTGAATATTTAAATTTTTGTTTCCGTACCCCTTTAAGAGCAATTTTTCTCCCCCTAACTATCACCAGGCAGTGTGGGATATCACCAGGATGACCTTCGGGGGATCGGGCAAAAAAAACTAAAAAAAATCACCCCCCTGCCTCTTCCTCCCGGCGAGGGAGTCGCCAATTTTCCTCTGGTCAGATCTTTTCGGCGTTACCCCAGCACCGGACCCACTGGGAGACAGGGTTGAGACTTTGGGCCGGAGCCACGCGGGAGGGAGTCCCAATTTTCCTCTGTCCCGCCTGTTCCCAGTTGTCCATCATTTAATTTTCCCTAGATAATTTCCACCAATCCTCTAATCGTCTCTTTGTCACTGTAATTCTTTTCTCTACCGTCCTTCCATCGTCGCCAGTAAAACCCAGGGCCCCGGCCAAATCCGTTACCCCTTCAGGGAGGGCAGGACGAAGCCCCGTGCACTTCAAAACCAAGTGCTCCAGTGTCTCGCTATCATTATGGCAGGCGGCACATAATGTGTCGGCCTCCTGAAATTTAGCCCTATACGTCCTCGTCCTCAAAACTCCCGTTCTTGCCTCGAACAGCAAAGCACTTCCCAGTGAATTGTCAAATAGATTTTCCTTTCTTATCTCCTGCTTTCGTGACCTGTACACTGTTAAAGCTGATTTCTCCTGCATTCTCCCCTCCCACATTCTCCTCTCTGCCTCTTTCACCTTCTTTTTCACCGACGTAGTCTGTTCAGCCCATCACCAGTGTGTAGATGTTTAAACTTTTCATGTATAAATACGCTTGAATACCTTCCGTGTCCACCGCATATCATCCATTTCAGTCAACCTTTGTTCAAATTTCAACTTACTAATTGCCTCCCTGCTCTCAAAAGACGACCATCCCATGTCCCCCTGTACGCCCTCATTTGGTGTTTTTTTTATGTGCTCCCAGTGCCAATCTGCCTACGCTTCTTTGTCCAATTTCTAACCCTGATTGAACCTCAGATTTCATGCACAGTACTGCATTGCCAAAACACAGTCCTGGTACCATCACTACCTCTGACCACTTCATATCTGTTAAAGTTCCATAGTGCCTTGAGCTTCATAATAGATGAATTTCTTTTCGCTTTTCTAATTGTATTCTCCTCGTGTTCCTCTACATATTTCCTTCCCTCATTGAGACAGACCCCTAGATATTTGTACTTTTCTGCGTGTTCTATCACTGTGTCCTGTATCTCCAGGGGTTTCCCCTTCTCATTGTTGAAAACTATTATACCCGACTTGTCCTTACTGAATTTTAGCCCTAAACTGTCCCCTTCCCTGCTGCAAATCCTAATCAGTTCCTGTATTGTCTCATGGCTTTCTGATACGAGATGTCATCTGCAAACATTAACCCTGGCAATAGTTGATTTACTTTACGTCCTTCCTCCATGTAATTCAGATCAAAACCTAGGTTGCACTGCTCTAATCTTTTTTCCATCTCACTGAGGTATATCATAAAGAGCAAGGGAGACAATGGGCAACCCCGTATAAGTCCTCTTTTTATTGCTGCTGGTTTTGTAGTTTCGGCTTCCCATTTTATAATCGCCCTATTCTCCGTATAAACCCGTTCTAGGAACTTAACCGTGGTTCCCCCTAGGCCATACCCTCTTAGTTGGTCCGAAAGTTTTTCCTGATTCACATTGTCATATGCCCCTTTGATGTCCAAAAATGCTACCCATAATGGCCTTTGGCTTGTCATTGCCATCTCTATGCACTGAGTGATTATGAATAAGTTATCATCTACCGTATTTACTCGCAGAATGAACGCACTTTTTTTTCCGAAAAATCCATGCAAAGTTAGGGGGGGCGTTCATTACGCGAAGTAAAATTTTTGCGTCCGTATTTACTCGCATAATGAACGGACCTTTTATCCTGAAAAATCGAAGTAACTTCTTATCTCTTTGCGCGCGGCGCCCGACCCCGTAACGAAACTAAGCTGCGCAAAAAAAAAAAACAACTTTCCTTTATTTCTTGGGGTTTTTTTTTCTTGCCGCCTTTCGCAAGTTGTTTTGTTTGCTTAGGCGTTGCTTAAGCGAGGGCTCTCCGCTTATCTTTCTTATCTCCTTGCGCGCGACGCACGACCCCCCGTAACCAAACTGCGCTGTGCAAAAGAAAAAAAAGTTATCTTTTTTTTTTTTTCAGTTCCGTGGGTCTTTTTTTCTTTTTGCCGCCTTTCCCAAGCTGTTTCGTTTGCTTAGAGGGCTTCTCCGCTCCTCTTTCTTGTCTCCTTGCGCGCGGCGCGCGACCCTCCGTAACGAAACTGCGCTATGCAAAAAAAAAAAAAAAAACACTTTTTGTTTTTTCTTAGTTTCGTGTTTTTTTTCTTTTTGCCGCCTTTCGTAAGCTGTTTCGTTCGCTTAGAGCGCTTCTCCGCTTTTCTTTTACCTCCTTGCGAGCGGCAGCGCGCGAACCCAAAGTCCAGACTGCGCTGTGCAAAAAAAAAAAAGAAAAAAAAAAGCTCCATGTTTTTTTTTTTTTGCTTCTGTTGGATCTTTGCGAATTTTTTTAACGCCTTTCGCAAGGCGTTTTGTTCGCCCACGCTGCCCATGCATTCGCGACCTCGCTGCACCAGGATAGAAAAGTGCGTTCATTTCGCACGCGTGGGGGGAGGGGGTTAAAATTTTGACGTCCGAGTTGGAGGTGCGTTTATTACGCGAGTGAAAAAAAAAGTCGTAATTTTGAGAGCCGACTTGGGGGGTGCGTTCATTACGCGAGTGCGTTCATTGTGCGAGTAAATACGGTAATCGTCTATCCATCCTGAAACCGTTTTGGAGCTCCCCTAGAATCTGCTTTCTCTCTGTCCATTCTTCATTTTACGATTTGCATAGCTAGTCTGTATATTACTGAAGTTACTGTGATTAGTCGGTATGATTTGATACCGTCTTTGTTTCCCCTGCTCTTATATAATAATCTCATCCTGCTCAATTTCCAGTCACTGGGTAGCTCCCCTCCCATAAGTATCTGGTCAATTACCTGCCTTAGTTTCAATTTGCTTGTTTGGCCTATAACTTTTATCGGTCTCATTGGTATGGCGTCTCGACCTGTCACAGTTCAAGACGGAACCCTTCCTTCTGCTTTCTTCCATTCCCCTATGGTCATTTCCTCTCCTTCACTATGATCCTCCTCTTGTGTTGTGTAGATGCTATTATTCCCTATGGCCTCACCTGATTCTAACTCCGAAAATGCTGCTTCGATTGTATGTCTAATGTATTCCCTTGCCTCTTCCCCCTCTACCTTTGTCCCTTCCTGTGTGATTAGCGCCTGCTGGTACCCCTCGGTCTTTTTTCCCTGTGCACTGATGTGTTCCCAGAACCTTTTTGCCGCATTCCTATCCTTTTGGTTTATCTCTATCATCCACTGGACCCCTGCCCTCCCAATTTTGGCCTGTACTAATGCTGATGCCTCCCGCTTTCGTTCCTGAAAGTCCCCCCATTTTGATGTCACTTCGGCTGGTGTGGCCCCCCTATTTTTTGCCCATCTGTGTTCTTTAGATGCCGCTTGGCGTCTCAATATTGCTGCCTTAACCTCTTTATCCCACCAGCTTTTGGGCTCGCGTTTATGTTTTCTTCCTCCTTGTCTGGTTTGATGTTTCTCTAATTTTTTTTTGAAAACACTTATTAAGTCTTCATATGCCCATTCTCTTTCCGGTTGCTTGGATACTATGTTCTCGATCCGTTTAGATACCTCCTGTAATTGTTTATCATTTAAGTTATTTCTACCCTCTTGTTTTTGATTTTGCATTTCTGATTTTACTGAGCCAAATCTGATCTTGATTCTCTTATGGTCGCTCCCCAGACTTTTTGTGCTTTCCTCATCTATTTCCATACCCCCAAGTCTGTTGTACATCTTCCGTGACATTAAACAGTAGTCGATAGTCGAGTGAGAGTTCTTTCTCTCCCACATTATTTTTCCATCACATTTAGCTGGGCGTTAACCAATACCAGATCAAGAGCTTCGCAGATCTCCTTCCTGTTGTATCGGTACGTCCA